TCTTGCTAGCTATGTCCTTTGCCATGCAGAAGCTCTGCAGTTTCATGCAATCCCATTTGTCCAACCTTTCTTTGATTTGTTGTGTTTCTGGGTCTCTATTAAGAAAATTTTGGCCTGTGCCAAGGAGACTTAGGGTTTCTCCTATTCCATCCTGTAATGTAAAACAGACTGTTGTGATGAGCCCAGCAGAAAGTTGATTTTGCATACAGAAAAGGGCTTGAAAAATAAGTAGAAAAGAGGACCAGTCATTTCAGTTACTTCACTTGTCAGACTAGGACAGCTATTGGTAACTTGCTAGAACTGTGCCTGCTGCTCAAAGATGAAGCTAACACCTTTATAGGCAGTGAGGAGACACAAAGATAATCCATTATCCTAAAGCTGAGCCTATCACCAACTTTTCAGTAATGGGGAGAGTACATGCTTTTACATTCCTTAAACAAATAAAACTTTTTAAACCATTTGTGCTATGGCCTGAATGTGTTCTCCAAAGTTCAAGTGCTGAAAATTTTTTGCTTTTTCTTACAGTGCTAGAGATTAAACTTAGGACCTCATATGTGACAGGAGAGTTCTGTGCCTCTGACTTATACTTCTTTTTTGTGTGTTTTTTTTTGGGGGGGGGGTCCGGGCGTGGGGCCTGAACTCTGGGCCTGGGCGCTGTCCCTCAGCTCTTCAGCTCAAGGCTAGTGCTCTACCACTTGAGCCACAGAGCCACTTCTGTCTTTTTTCCTTTTGTTTATGTGGTGCTGAGGAATTGAACCCAGGGCCTCATGCATGCAAGGCAAGCACTCTACCATTGAGCCACCTTCCCAGCCCCTCTGACTTATACTTCTAATTCTGCTTGGAAACTTATTTCCAATGCAAGAGTGTTAGGAGAGCTGAGTACCAGTGGCTCACACCTATAATCTTAGCTATTCAGGAGGCTCAGTTGTGAGGATCATAGTATGAAGCAAACCTAGAGAGGAAAGGGCATAAGACTTTTATCTCCAAGTAAGCAGCAAAGAGCTGGCCATGTTTAAGTCATGAGGATAGCCTTTCTTTCTTTCTTTCTTTCTTTCTTTCTTTCTTTCTTTCTTTCTTTCTTTCTTTCTTTCTTTCTTTCTTTCTTCCTTTCTCTTTCTTTCTTTCTTTCTTTCTTTCTTTCTTTCTTTCTTTCTTTCTTTCTTTCTTTCTTTCTTTCTTTCTTTCTTTCTTTCTTTCTTTCTTTCTTTCTTTCTTTCTTGTTGTGGGGCTTGAACTCAGGTCCTAGGTGCTGTCCCTGTGCCTCTTTGTTTCAAGGCTAGCACTCTATCACTTTGAGCCACAGGGCCACATTTAGTTTTCTGGTAGTTAATTGGATATAAAAATCATACAAACTTTCTTGTCCAGACTAGCTTTGAACCGTGATCCTCAGATCTCAGTCTCCTCAGTAGCTAGGATCACAGGCATGAGCCACAGCACCTAGTGGTTTAACATTTGTAAACCATAGGTATCATATAAAAAGCCCAGAGTAAATGTTGTAATTATCATACTGTATTAGAAAGTAGATAGCATATTACTACAGAGTATACTATGCATATGGGAGGACATTTTTCATGAAGAAGAAAATGTTTTTTTGCCCAGTTTTGAGGATGGAAGTCTTCTTACTTCAGATGAGTTGAAGAGGCAGTAGCATTTTTAAGATGTTGACGTATCTCATCATATCCTGGCAAGTGTGGAAGTTTAAGTTTCTACTTGGCTTTGAGGGGTTGAAACCACAGCTTGAGGAGAGTTGAGTGGTGACCTGTCTTCCCCCCCTAACATGTTTTCTAGTTAGCTAGGGTGACCCTTCATTCTCACAAAGAAGCCTTTTATAAGGAACATTTTTGGTCCATATCTCAACATTTTTTGGGTGTGTGGCTTCTCCAAACAGTTTGGGATATATTAAGACTACATATAAACCTAGGGAACTTAATATATTTCTTTTTGGATCCTAAAGTAGTTAGCTGTGCGGCTTCTTTCCATCTTCTAGTTTTGTTTTTACTTATGATGGAGCTATTTATAACTCCATCTTTATGATAGCACAAAATTAATAAACATTCCGTAGAAACTATACTCCAAATTTTGAATCTGGATCTTTTCTTGGCCTCCTGATATATGATCTAAACCTCTTTCAAGATGCAGAGAGCTACTGTTCTGTAGGTGAGGAATATGAAATGCTTTTGACTCAACTTACAACTAATAGATTTGCTGGTATATGACCTCATTGCAATTGTACAGTATCTGTATAATGTCCAGAGCTTTTTGTTGTATTTAACAGAAGGAATAGAGGAAATATATCTGTTTCATCTTTCTAGAAGAAGTCAAGGGCTATCCTGTGCTTTAAGGCATAATTTCAAACAAAAATGCATGGCAAAGATGTAAGGTAAAACTGTAGCCCCATTCATCAGGAAAACAATTAAATGAAGAAAGTGAGCCATAGACAGTAACTGCCTTTGTGAGTTTATATATAATTACCTTCAAATAGGAAGAACTAATAGAAAAATTCATAATGCTTATAAAGAAAATTCTTTAAGTTGTGAACCAATATAGAGTTTATGGGAAGAGACAATAGTTTATATATTTCAAAGATTCAGAAAAATTAGGATTTGTCTACTGTTATGTTTGACATTACATGCCTCCCCCCACACCCCCTCCCAATTCAGGGAACTGGGCAGGAGCCACAGGCACAGCTTTTCCTGGTCACTTTCAACAAAAAAAGAACCAAATTTCAATACTATTCCCTTTTCAAAGCCATAAGAAAAAACAAAACAAAAAATAGAGACAATGACAAAAATCAACTAAGGAAAAAAAAAGCTAGGTCCCATAGTTCATACTTATTACTATTTGGGAGTAAATCTGAGGATTACCTTTCAAACTCTGGCTAGGCAAGAAAGTCTATGAATGAGACTCTTATCTCCAATTAACCAACAACACCAGAATGGAGCTGTGGCTTGAGTGATAGAGCAACAGTCTTGGGCAAAATATCTAAGACAGTGTCTTGGCCCTGAGTTTAAGCCCTCCTACCAGCACACAAATACATGTGTGCCTGTACTCACATGCTTGTGCGTGCGTGTGCACACACACACACACACACACTCAGGTTTAGCTCTGCTTTTCCTGAACTCCTTCCAACTTTTAAGAGGATGCTGTTCACAGGAGGTAGCCTCTGTATAAAAATAATACAAATGACAAAAGCAGTCTGAATATAAAATCTCAAGAGGACTGGGAGCTAGAGTGATTAATTGATATCTTGTAAACAGCTCTACTATGGAGGTTTGACATAGTTGGAAGGAAGACTATTTGAACAGTTAAATATAGAAACCTATTGGGCTGTGTTTACTTCTTGCGGTAGGTCTATCCAGTTAAAACCTGAAGAAAACGAGAAAAGAAAAACATGAAATGCTCCAGAAGCTAATTGAAAATCCTACTAGGAGCCAGGCCCTGGGTAGCTAACACTTGTAATCCTAGTTACTCAGGAGGCTATAATGTATGGATTGAGGTTCAAAGCCAGCCAACAAATGAAGGAAAATTTTCCTACTAGTTACAGATGGGTCCTGGCATCCTACCAGCTTCTGGAAATTCTTAGCATGCCTAGAACCAGGAGACAGTCTGCTTGAAGATTATCTAATACCTTTGCTTTCCCTATTGTGGCTTCTGATTCCATGAGAAACTAGAAGGAGTTAAAAGCAAAACAAAAGTCAAAGTCAAAGTCAGCCTTGATTCTGCTGCTTAGATTAAAAGGTTGGGTGACTACAACCCTTGGCAAATGAACACAAAGTACATTTGGAGTGGTGCGTGGGGTATAGACTCTGAGATTGGGTGGTGAGGGGAGCTTGAATTCAAGGCCTTAGGCTCTTTCCTTTAGCTTTTTTTGTTCAAAGCTGGTGTTCTACCAGTTGAGTCATGTCTCCACATCTGGCTTTTTGATTAATTGGAGGAAAGAGTCTCATGAACTTTCCTGCTAGTGCTGTCTTTGAATGGAAATCTTCAGACCTCAGCCTCTTGGGTAGCTAGGGTAAAAGGCATAAGCCACCCTCCCTCTGGGCTGACATTGAGGATCCTAATGCCCAAATACTTTACTCTCTTTTTTTCTTAGACTACTTCTCTTTGCAGGCTTGAAGCCTAACTTTGCTGTATTCAGGGATCCCAATCCTTTGATGGAGCTAGGAAGCCCTGAAACTTCCTTCAAGAAGTTCAAGTATATATTCTGGGCACACAAATTAGACTGAATAAGTGCGATTTCTCATAGATAGACATTCTTACAGTGTCCTGGATTTTAATTTACTTTGTTTTTCAGTTGCAAAATGGTTGCAGGCTGTAGAATTTGCAAACGTTAAAGAAGTATGTCTTTGAAATACAAAACACAAGTTCCTAGAAATTCTACTCTTCAATGAGAGTAATATTAACTATTTTTCCCCTACCGTTTTTTTTACAAATTTATTGAGAAACCGTTGGGTTAAAACAACAGTGAACCCAGTTACTACATATATGGTAGATTTCTGAAATTATTTTCCAACAAACGGGCTCTGCAAACAACCCAAACAGTAGGAGATCCACTTAGCACTTTAGTTGGAAATGTACATTTGGAAAGACGCGGAATTCTGCTCGCGCCTAAAAACTGCAGCAAGCTACTGCAGTAAGCTACTGCCAACGTTTGTCCTTGACTGCAAGGGAAGAGACACACATAGTTGCAATCCTCGAAGGGGCGGTGTCGGGGTGCTGGTGTGTGGACGACACCGCAGCCACCACCTTCCACACGCCCTCTGCCTTGAGTAAATGAGGAGACTCCCGCCCTCCGGTAGTAAACAGAGAGGCAGCTTGGAGGCGGGGCCTAGAGGGGCCCGGAGGATCTCGGAGTGTTGATTGGTCTATTTCTCTGTCTGTAAGGGTATTGACAGTCTCCGCTAGCAGGGCCGCAACTCTCGATTCGACGCCCCTCCCCTCGTGGGCGGGCGCCCGCCCGGAGCTGCGAGGGCGCGTGCGCGAGTGTTTCCCCCGCCACGGCAGTGGCCGCCCGCCCGCGCACAGTCGCAGTCTGCGGGCCAGCTGGGAGGCGGCGGAGGTAACCGAAGGGGGAGGTGGGGCAGCATGGCAGCCTCCTTGCGGCTCCGCGGGGCCGCCTCCGGCCTCCAGTACTGGGCCTGCCGGCGGCAGCAGCCGGCAGGCGCCAGGCTTGCAGCGGGTAAGGTCCTCGCGCCTCTTCCCGGCGTCCCTCCTCGGGCCGGCCCGCTCCTCGCGACCCGACGGCCCGGAGAGGGCTTTCCTCGGGAGGTCCCGCGGTGGGGTGGAGGGTTAGAACCCCACATTTCGACTGGTCTCAGAGGCCCCCACCCTGCCTCTGCAGTCGCGGGTCGTGGGGCTCAGTGTCCCGTCTCTCATCTGTACCCCATGCCAGATTTGCGAGTTCAACGTCCTTCTCCGTGGGGGAGCGCTCGGCTGGAGGAGCAGTGTTTGCGGCTTGCTTCTTTGGAGCGAGGGCCCCGAGGACATGGGGAGACCCAGCTCCCAGGGTGGACCCCGGCTTTCCCGGGGCTGCACCCTTGAGTGGGCATATGCCTTCGGACTCAGGGGCGGACTGGGGTCGAATCCCTCCGTCCGTGTGATAGGCACAGCCTCACACTCCTGCAAAGGCTTGTTACCCTTGACCCGCGAGGCGGGTTTACCCCCCCATTCCGTAACTGTGCTGCCCGAAAGTTGTCCCTTCTGTCAAATTATTAACCACGGCATTTTAAAAAAAAGGAAGACTGAATCTATTCCTCCTCCCTTCTTCTCTGACTCCCTCCAAACCATTAAGTTACCAGCTAACCAGGGATGTAGGGAAGAGGGCAGCTTGTAGAGGTAAGTGAAGATCCACAGAGAACCAATTCCAGGGTGTTCATTTTTCACGTGACACCCTTGAGGCCTCTTGAATAAGTGAACTAGGAGATAGCTGTCCAGGAAGGAGGTTTTGATTTTTCTTCAAATTCTACATTTTTTCTGACGTTTGGAAGTGATAAACTGCCTAGCAAGTCCAAGGCCTTGAGTTCAAACTCCAGTACTAGAGCGGGGGAGGGCAGACAGTGGGGCAAGAAAAAAAGAAAAGTTGATTGACTTGTTGGGACAGTGCCATTGTGTGTGGATAAAAGCTAGTTGTTTTTTTTTTTAACAAGGCACAGTTTGGCACAGTCATATTAAGGATTAGCCAAAAATTATTGGTATTTGGCTGGGGGGGGTGAAGCTCAAGAGTTTGCCTAACATGCTCCATTCTCTGAATTCATCCTCAGCAGTGAAGAGCAAAGACCCTCATAGTATTAACTTTTTCCTGATCTTTGCTTTTAAAAAGTATCCTGTTGAAAAGCCAAGAGCTTGTGACTCACAACCTGTAATCTTAGCTCAGGCTCAGGCTGAGATCTGAGCATTGTCGTTCAAAGCCAGCCTGGGCAGGAAAGACCCTGAGTTTCTTATCTCCAAGTAATCAGCAAAAAGCCAGAAGTGGAGCAGTGACCCAAGTAGTAGAATGCTAGACTTGAGCAGACAGAGGTCAGGAACAGCACCCAGGCCCTGAGTTCAAGCTCCAGGACTGGCACAAAAAAAAATGAAACAACAAATATATCCTATTGAGAAATTAAGTAATGAACAGATGGTTCCTAGTCTTTCCCCTCAGGAAAACATATTCATTCTTTTCATGCTCCAGAAAGACAGGCTCTATGTGGTGAAAAGATAAGTTTGGCAGGCAATCATAGTGACAAGGTTTGTTTATTTGATCTGCAAAAAATATTTCTTCCTTTGGAGATATAATAGCATTAGTCACTTTTCCATGTTACTGAAAGAACTATAGTTTCACATGAATGCACAGTTCTTTCAGATAGATTAGCTGAGGAAGATGTATTTGCTGTTTAGTGGTTTTGAAATGTGTTTTAATGATATGTAATGAATCCTCAATGTGCTTTTTATAAGTTATGAAAGTCTGTAGAATTTATGATGGAAGAAGTTGAGGCCTAAAACTCTAATATTTGTTTTTGATAGCTGGAAGGACCTAACTCAAAATGCTAGTTAGACCACTTTAGCATATGACCTTTTGCTTAAGGTTCTTTGGCCTAAAGGTATGTGAAAAGAGTTTTGAAAAATGTTAAATGGTTTTGTGATGATGTGTTTGTATTTGAACCCTGTGGAATTTTTCCCCCTCAGATTTTGGATTTTGAAGTCAGGGCTTTGCATTCTTGAGGCCTGCTGACAATCTGTTACTTAACATCTTTGCTAGTTATTTTCGGGATAGTCTCTTGGACTTTACTGCCCAGGCTGGCTTCAAACTACAATCCTCTGGATCTCAGCTTCCTGAATTGCTAGGATTATGTTTGTGAGCCACTGGCACCTGGCCTTGTAGAATTGTTTTAAACATTTCTATTAGTGTTGTTTTACCACTAAGTGTTAACTCTTTTGAATTTCAACTTAAAAAAAAAAATAGTTGTACAAAAGAGTTTCTGCTCAACAAGTCAGATTATAAGGAGAATTTATCTTGATCATGTCGCCCCTTTCAGCTTTCTCCTCCATCTTTCCCAAACCTATCCATATGCTCAGGTTACATAGTTCAACTTGAATTTCAACTCTTTAAAAAGACTAGAAAAATCGTCATGTAAATTTGGAGTCTAGGGACATTAAAAAATAGTTCAAGGGCTAGGAAGGTGGCTCAGTGGTAGAGCGCTTGCCTTGCATACATGAGGCTCTGGGTTCGATTCCTCAGCACCACATAAGCAGAAAAAAAAGGCCGGAAGTGGTGCTGTGGCTCAAGTGGTAGAGCACTCTCCTTGAGCTGAAGAGCTGAGGGACAGCGCCCAGGCCCAGAGTTCAGGCCCCACGACCGGACCTAAAAAAAAAAGAAACAAAAACCAAAAAATAGTTCAAATAGTAATATTAGCATTTTGAGTTCTGTGGGAGTCTTTGCCCCCTTAGTATGCTTAAGATGTCTATATAATGTGGACAGTAATATTATAAGGTTCCAATATAATTTATTATTTAAAAAAAGATGGGACCTGCCAGGCGCCCGTGGCTCATACCTATAATCCTAGCTACTCAGGAGGCTGAGATCTGAGGATTACAATTCAAAGCCAGCTTCGGCAGAAATGTCCCTGTGAGACTTTTACTTCCATTTAACCACTTAAAAACTGGAAGGAAAGGGGTGCTGTGGAGCACTAGCCTTGATCAAAAGAGCTCAGTGACAGACCCTGAGTTTAAGCCACAAGATGGACAGAGAGAGAGAGAGAGAGAGAAAGAGAGAGAGAGAGAGAGAGAGAGAGAGAGAGAGAGAGAGAAAGAGAGAGAGACCTGCTAGGCCCTGATGGTGGATCCCTAGCCCAGGAAGCCAGCCAAACAAGCATGGCCCCCTAGTTCAAACCCTGGTGTAGGCAATAAAACAAAACTAAACAAAAAAAACATAAACCTAAAGTAACTGGTCAGTAGTGCCACCTTAATTTTAATATATTTAATGCTTTGCAAAGGAAATAGAAAAAAAAGAGAACTATTAAACTATATACATAGTACTGTTACATTGGCCATTTAATAGAAGTAAATTTTGTATTTATTTATTTTTTTGTCAGTCATGAAGTCAGAATTCTAGGCCTGGGTGCTGTTCCTCAGCACTTCAGCTCAAGGCTAATGCTCTACCACTTGAGCCACAGCACCACTTCTGGCTTTTTCTGCTTATGTGGTGCTGAGGAATCAAATCAGGGCCTCATGCATGCAAGTCAAACACTCTACCACTGAGCAAACTTCCCAGCCCTGTATTTAATTTTAAAATGTAATTTAGTTTTAAAACTTTTGTTGTTTTTGTATATGTGTGTGTAACAGAACTGTGGCTTGAACTTAGGGCCTGAGTGTTGTCTCTTAGTTATTTCTTGAGATAAGAGTCTAATGGACTTTTCCTGCTTATGCTAGCTTTGAACTATGATTTTCAGATCTCAGCCTCCTGAGTAGCGAGGATTACAATCATGAGCCAAAGGTGCTGGGCTTAGACTATTTCTGTATAGAGGAAAAAAAAAAACCCTACATACAGCAACCCTCTAACCTTCTAGTAATTCATCAGCACTTACATGGAAAAATAATTATCAGGACAATTTAAAGTGACTGATCTGGGCGCCAGGCCTGTAATCCTAGTTATTCAGGAGACTGAGATCTGAGGGTCACGGTTCAAAGCCAGCCCCAGCAGGAAAGTCTGTGAGCCTCTTATCTCCAATAAACCACTCAGAAAACCTGAAGTGGCGCTGTTGCTCAAGAGGTAGAGCACTAACCTTGAGCTGAAGAGCTGAGGGACAGCGCCAGAGTTCAAGCCCCATACAACAAAAAGTGACTGACCACCTGACTATAGGTAGGATGAGAACATTAACTGATATTGTATATAGCAATGGGTATAATATTTTTTAATTGATTCTTTGTGTGTATGTGATCTCTCCCTTCAAAGCAGCATAATTCTAGCATAAATCAAATACATAATGACTTCTTCCCAAAATTTCATTAGCTTCCAGGGTAACACATGAAGCTCTGAAAAGCTGCATGTGGTCCTAGAACTAAAGTTTATTCTTTTTTTTTTGTTGGTTGTGGGGCTTGAACTCTGGGCCTGGGCACTGTCCCTCAGCTCTTCAGCTCAAGGCTAGTGCTCTACCACTTGAGCTACAGTGCCACTTCCGGTTTTCTGGTGGTTTTTTGGAGATGAGAGTTTCACAGACTTTCCTGCCCAGGCTGGCTTTGAACCTAGATCTTCAGATCTCAGCCTTCTGAGTAGCTAGGATTATAGGCGTGAGCCATCGGTGCCTGGCTAAAGTTTATCTTTAACTTGTGAAGTGATGTAGAAGGATACTTGTTTACTAAATTAGGAAATTTATTACTAAAATAGTTTGACTCAGCTTGAAAGGTCTTCCTAGAATAAGTCACCACCTTTACTAACTTTTAGCGTGAAAGTAGTGCTCATTATATAATATTTCATAAAGTAGGATCCAACATTGTAGGCACTATAGTTATCTCTTATTTAATATCCAGTTTCCCTCTTTTGCATTTCTGCTATTACATTCTAAAAATGCTAAATGAAAAGAAACTTTGGAAGAGATACCATGTTCATATAACTAAAAAATATTTGTTAGAATTATTCTGCTTTATTATTAGTTATTATTAATCCATCATTGCACCTAATTTTTTTATTGCAGGTATGTATGT